TGTTTCAAAAGCACAAAGGAACCAGTCTGCCTGATTTCGTGGGTGCAACGCTGCTGGACCTGTGCTCTGCACTGAGCACAGGACATGAGTCCCACCATTCACACCAGTAAATCCATAAGCTCTGGAACCGGGAGTTAATTTTACAACCTTGTCCTCAGAAACTGCTGATTCACAGAGAAAGCAATATTTTTACAAAACAAAACTATGAGGCAGGGAGACAAATAAACAGAGACAGAGATGAGAAATTAAATGGCATGATAGAAACTAAAAGCAAAAAAAGCCCAAAGTAGAAATGCAATATATAGATTTTTCCACCTGGATAGCTACATTTGGGCAAAGTCATAACAATCTAGAAACTTAGCCTTTTAATAGCAGGTTGGATAGTCTTATTAGAAGGAGGTGTTGCTAACTTATAGCTAATTTATATCTTATGTCTATAAATAATAAATCCTCAGGTTTCTCTGCAGAAGCCATGCTGCAGCTATCCAGAATCAGGCAGATACATCACACAGCCTGTCACTGCAGGCCACCTATTACTGTCATTTTTGAACTACACGATGAAGCCACTGTCTGAGTCACAGAACAATAATTTCAGAGTTGCAGGACAATTCCTCTGACAAGGAAGGACATCTTTTCCCTCTCATTCAATTCTTTTTATAGCAAAGCCCCAGAGACATTTATTATGTGTCACTTGTACATCACTTTCATTTGAATATAGGATGAAACTTCATTCACTTTCAAAAAAAATGTCTAGTGCTGTGGTGCACTGGTTATCACAATCGACTACACATCTACTTTGGGCCAGTGCAGCCATCACTATCTTATATTTCATTTGCATAGCAGTTTTGGAATTAAAAATGGCTACATAACTGAAGAAATATAATGTAGAAAATGCTAGAAAATCTTTACTATTACAACAATGCTGCCACCTGGTAAACAGAAGTGTAATAGCAGGGAAGACTTTGATTTTGCTCTGCCTTGAATGTGCAGACACTATTTTAAATAACATTTAAAATCACAAAAGCTGCAGAGTTATAACTGGAATAGGATCGTTCCCCTGCACCAGATTAAATCATTCTTGTGGCTCTGTTTCATTGCGGGGAAGAAGTAACTCATACCCTCCCCAGATTAAATTTGATTCTGAATCCTGGAAAGTATCTACGAAGAATAACCAGCTAAGTGACTGACTCACCACAGTAACTGAATTAAATATACCTGATTTTGAGCACACAAGTAGTCAGAATTAAGTCCACATTTAATGTTATTCATGTCCTCCAGTAAGCAGCTTGCTGAATTGAAAATATACCACTAAATGTTTACATAAAGAATCAAATCTACAGTGATAAAGATATGAAATAAATAAAATGAAATCCTGATAAAAGAGTTCTGAAGAAAATAAGACATCAGGTGTTGTCATAGGTAGAATATCCATTCATGGAAAGCAAAATGCTACAACAGGAAACAAGGAATATGTATTTAAACAGAGAAAAAAAACCCCTCACATATATGGGAAACATGAGAGGGGAAAAAAGGGAAACAAGAAATGCATTGGGAAAAGGTTCCCAGGCACTTGCATGAGTCCATAAGTCTTCAACTCTAAAACAGATTCTAAGTATCTGTAATAAATAAGCAGGAGAGAGTGCAAAAGATAATAAACTTGTTTATGTGATCCCAGCAAACATCACTGGGATGAACCGCATACTATACTCTCTACATTAATAAAGAAATGAAGAGTATATTTTCTAACTTTCTTTTCTAATACACAATGCAAATATTTCTTTGTCTTATATATTTTTAGTGGCCTATCATCCTAGCATATGAGATTTTTCAGATTAGCATAAACTTCTTTCAAATTCCCTAGGAAATAGTGTCTCCCAGCCAGTTACTGGGATCCTACCCTCAAACTACACACCCTTGAAATACAATCTAATGAATAACTTTATCTCCTTTGAATGGCAAAACAGTTTAGATCATCCCATAAATTTCCAGAAACATACAAACACAATTATTCTGCAAGCCATGCGATGGCAGGATGAGTTCTTGCCCTGGAGAAAGCAGGACCCTTCCATTACCCTCAAAGTGATGGAAGCGACCTCTAACAGACACATGCCTGACAATTTTACAGACAAACACTTAACAATAAGGAAGTGGCAAAAAAAGGAAAATATTTCCATATGTAACGTCAGGTTTAAAAGTGTTTTCATGTAGATTTACATAGTTGCATTTTTTGGAACTAAAAAATTGGAAGTGCTGTGACAAAAATATAGAAAACAACTAACATTCAGACACTGAATGGCAATTTCTGTTCTCCCAGAACAAGAGGATATTCAAATTAGAAGTTGGAAAATCCAGAATCAGTAATAGAATTTCTATTTTTACAATGTGCATTTCAACAGTGGAAAATATTGAGTCCAAGGAGTTAATGTTATTTTAGGGAGTAATGAGTGTTTAGGTGAATCAATAATATTGAGAGTTCCAAGAGCTTAGAAGAGATATTTAAGATGTACTTAATTTAATATCTATTAGCATTCAGAATGAGTTCTGTGTTAGATATTAATTATTCCATGTTTAACTATTCCAAGATTTTCAGTTCTTGCTTTGAAGCACCTCCTGTCGGCACTCACAGAGAAATATAGCCTTGACGTGTGTGATAAATATTACATGCCTGCATTTCAGAGAGTTTGTAAATAAGTATATATTTCCTTTAAACCAATGCAAATGGTTTGCATTACTGCACTTACACTATTTTAGTTAATGGTAATAAAGGCCCATGGTGCTAACTGTAAAAAAATCTTCAGAACTGAACAATCTTTTGAATCCAAATCTAACATAACATGTCAGCATATTTTATCAAATCAAGAACTTCAGAACATAGCATATGGGCTTTCAGTATAAATAATTATTTGCTAGTAAGTGAGGGAGAAAGGATGAAGTAGGAAAACTAAATGATTACTAAGAAAGATTGGTATATTCTGGAGATATTCAAGGTCAGGCTTGATGGTGCTCTGAGGAACCTGATCCAGTAACAATGTCCCTGCTCACTGCAGGACTAGACGATCGCTGTTTGACTAGATGATCTTTAAAGTTCCTTTTCAACCCTTTACAAAAGGTTCACGTTTTAAATACTCGAGAAGTGACTTCTAGTCAGCTAATTTTCTTTGAAAACATTATTTCAAGGACACATACTAGAGAGGCATCTAAATTGAGAAGAAGCGTGGGTCTCATCACAGTCCACTTCTGGATAATCTGCACAGATTTTTGTTTTCTTTCTCCATATCAGTTCGTGGTAGCTCTGCCTCCTGTGGCCTCTGTTGTCTAAGATTTCAGGGAGACGACATTCTTCCCACAAGGAATCTGAGTGCAGTTCCAAGAGTGCGTTGGGGATCAGCTCTGGAAAGAAGAGGGAGTTAATGGCAGCTTTCTAATGGGGAGAAATATCTAAGAAAGGAATAATGATCTTCACTAGTCAAGTGACAGGTTTTTCATGCTGTGGGACCCCAGCCCATAGAAAAAGTTCAAGCCAAAGCAAATAGAGATTTCATGACTTCCAGTGAAATGCCTCTGATGCAGGATAGTTGGTCAAAAACATATCATGCAAACTTGTGCTCCACTAGAAACAGAGTCAATGGAATATGTACATAGGTCACATCCTGCTTATCTTCCTCACTATTGTGAAAAAATCCTTCAGGGGAAGGGGAGGAAGTATTTGATCCAAAATCAGGAGAGGCAGCAGCAGTCATTCATGCATGTTTATGTTTGTCCTATCAGTCTACCCAGTGAGACAGAAGTGAAAAACAGACACCAAGTACAGTGACTGATGGACTGCATGCACACTCATCTATTCTGAGCACCCTGACAAAAGCAGAAAACCTGTAGATTGAGGTATTTACAGGCTAGTAAAACTGGAAAAATTGAAAGCCACTTTTAAAAAAATTGTTTTCTCAATAGCGGTAGCTAAAATTTGCTAAATGCTTGTCTATGAAGTTTCTCTGATAAAGCTCAAAACTCAGAATGAGACAGAAAAAAGTGACAGGAAATGCATGTTCCACTAAGTCAATAAAGGGATGATTGTCCTCAGCTATTATTTTGACATATGCTGAATGTACAAATCAATAAACAGCAATGACTGAAGCATGAAATGTTCAGAGTAATTTTCTGGTGAGATTTCCCCCAGATCTTTTCTATATAATTAAGCAAAATTAAAACTTCTAAAAGTATAAAATAGAATATTGGAACTATTTTTAAAATGGTATTTAGAGAAAAAAAAAAGACATGCTAGTTTTCAAGAAATGCATGCTGCAGATCAAGTGGGTGGATGGAGAGGGAGGACTGAGACTATTTAAATAGTGTCATGCCTTGTAGTTGTGACTGCAAATGTCAGTAATGTTTAAGTGTCTCTGACAAAGAAAATTCTTTGCTGAAGGTTCACATTTAGTTCTACAAACAGAGTCTTCAGTAGAAGAGAAAAAGCAAGAAAAAAGCTCTTTGAGAGGCTGTTCGGTTCTGACCCAATTATAACAATAACTAGGACTGAAATAGGCAGCAAGAATGCAAGCAGATGCATAATTAGAGTAAGTACAGAAGCAGCACACAGGAGATGTAACGGTCAGTCTTGTTTGCTGAATGTGCTATAGGCGTGGCAGAGTAGGAATTCTTAATGCGAGAAGCTGGAAAATGTGCTGTATGCATGCTAGTGCAATACATGATTGTGCTCTGGTTTGTACCAACAGATCCGTGGTAGCCAGACTTGGGTGTTTTGAGCTCTCTGGCTCGTAGTACTTGGCTATATTTATCCCAGCTGATGTAGGCTGTCAAGTGTGTCCTGCCGTTGATAAGGTGCCATAGTTGACAACCGTGAGGGATCAGGGGGGAGGAGCAGGATGGGGGCTTCCAGATAGTGTTTCTTTAGGGGATCTCAAAAGGTCTGCAGTCTCATTTCTGTTTAGCTTGAACTATACTTTCTAGATACAACTGGGAGCTTCATCGGAAACCAAGTGAAGATGCCAGAGCCTGTAAAGAAAACAGGTAAGGACTATAACTGACAGACGGTTAAAGACAACTCAATAACAGCTTGATAGAGAAAAATCTGAGTAGCTTTTGTATGCTAGAGAAATGAGATGTCTCAATGGGAAAAAGAGACAATATTTTCTGAATTTATAAATATAAGACATGTTGGGTGATCTCAGAGAGAAATCAGTAACTTAGTCTGGCAAACCTCAGCCACAGAATTTTCTGGAGACTTTGAGTATGGAAAGAATAGAGGTAAAATGCATTTAATTCTGCAATTTTTTTCATTTCTTATTTTCTTTTGCAGTCACTTTTAGGACTCTGAAAAAAGCTTGCAATCTCTCTCTTGGGCAGTTAGAAAGAGAGATAGAAATCTCTCCTGTTTTTGGTTTGGTTTGGTTTGGTTTTTGGTTTTTTTTTCCCTAATAGTTTCAAGGAAGTGTAAGTGGCAAACTTTGATGGTATTTGTTGTTAGTGAAATCTCTGTGAAAATGAAAGCAAATAGCACCTGGTTCAGAGATTACTCTCTCTGATTCTTCCAGCCAGTGACAGTAAAACTAGGAAAAAAACATTGTACTGTAAAGAATATACGCACACTACTTTTCACTCACTCTCCTCCATCCTTTCCCCTTGAGCCAGAAGTTAACTGGACATTTTCAGAAAGCCAGGGTCACAGAAACCAGTGCAACTCCTGCTCCACTAGAAATACATCAGGAAAATATTTCAGATTTAGGAAAGTTCTAATTTAAAATTGAGAAATATGGAATCACTCAGGAATCACATCGGAAAGAAGGGGAGGCCTAGGATGAGGTATAAGGTGCAATGAAGCTGTTTGAGAGGGAGGAAGAGAGCCTGGGAAGCAGAAGCAGGGACAGTTTAGCTTCAGAACACCTGTGTAGGGGTAGAGGAAGATGTCTTAGGAGCACTTTGTTTCCACAATTAAGTTTGGGGAAAAAAGTTTTCAAAAGCTGAAGTTATGTTTCTTTGAGAAGTGTGCACATATCCAGCACAGGGCTGAAGAGATTTGTACTAAATCTGGGATTCTTTGGTTTAAGAGCTCTCACTTCACTGATGCCAGTGTATACCCAGAACTGCTACTACCTGAATGTACAGTGCCAGGTGCATGATTTTTTAATAACATGCAGATTCCAGAGTTAATCAACAAAAGCTGTTAATACTTATTAATGTAGGCCTTTGTGCTTTGCAGAGGGCTGAACAGACATCAGTCTCCTGTTGGGCTGGTCAATGGAAAATCTCTTGTGGTTACCACAAGAAAAGAAGAACTTGTTAAAAAGAACTTTCATTTTGGCCAAAATATTTGGAATCAATGACTGCCAGAGACAGAGCACAAATCCAGCCCGTATCTCCCATTAAGAACTGCAATGCACTGAAGTATCATTAACTCCAATAAGATTCTCTGTTTCCTCTATATGATAACTCTAAAGCAACCGTGGTGACACCAATCCTTCAGTTTTATTACATCATTTGATGTTCTTAAAGCTGCAATTTCTGAAATCAGATGGAAGTAGAAACATATATAATGAAGAAGTATATACCAGACCTAGTAATTGTAGAGAAAACTTTGAAAATATAAGATGTAAAGGTTCAGCCATCACCCCAAAAATATGTCAGCGATAATAATATTCTGTTTTTAAAGTCACGTGATTTTTGAGATTTATTGAAATGTATAATACCTGTGATTGACAATGCTGGCAAAAAGGAGTATGACAGAGTAGGCAAAATTTGACAGTGTGATCACCTAGGTATTGCAACTTTCGATTTCTAATGATTTAACTGCCTTTAAATTAACATTTCCGGCTTCTGTGGATGAAAGGCAAGCTTTCCATTGTGAACATGCCCACATTTTCTAGCTAATGGTGAAGAGAAATTCTATTCCAGCTTATTTCTCCAGAGAAAACTAACAGGTGTCTAACATCACTAGTCCTACACAATTCTTATAAACAAATCAGCCTAAACACTGTGATTATCACAACAGGGGGAGGAAAAGCTCTTATTACCCTCTCCAATGGAGACAGAACGAGTCACATTCCCCATAACTTCTACAGGGGATCTTCCCATTCTCCCAAGAGACATTAATCCCTTTGGTTTTCTATTTCATGTTGTTTATATAGTTCAAGCCATTTCAAGATGGGATAATGTTGAGCATAATCTCTGGAGGGCTGAATAATCGCTTAGCAACTCATACTTGGACAAATGATGACTCTTGCCTTTCACATAACCCATAGTTAGAATACTGAAGAACCCTAAGAGATATTTAGTCTATATTACTGAAATTTGGGCATCTGGTGTATAGGTAAAGGAAAATGTTTCATGCCAGAGAATGATCAGAGATATTCTGCCTGTATCTGCTGTTTTACCAAACTTTTTAGCATGTTAAAAAAAAAAGCCACAACAAAGAAAACAACAAACCACAAAACCTAGAAGAGTGAAGTAGATTTTCCAACAGATATTCTTTTACTTATTCTTATCTGTCCAACTAAAATGCTTCAGGATAAGGCACTGCCCTCTTTATTTACAGAATACTAAAGAACAGTTTTAGTTTCCCAGAAAATCCATGCACTCCCCAAGAGCAACAGGATTTAGAAAACCTGGAGCAATTTAGTGTCAGAATGAAAAATCAAACTCTCAAAAGCATCACTTTTTTGCAGGGTTATGCTGCAGAAACTTTATGGTCTTCTCCCTTTGATTCAAATATTTCATAGTTAATCTCTGTTCAGAGGCTTGCTTTTTGGAAAGTTTTAATTGCTTTTTTTGTGGAGAAAATTCAGAAAGGTTAAAAAAACCCCAACCATTTCCCTAACAATATTTTGTGACATTAAGAGGAAACAGCTGACCTTTTAAACAACAAATTTAGTAGATAAACAGGACTTAATAGGAAACATTTGCATTACTATATCTGGAAAAGGAGGTCTGGTGTTAACTCACGTTCTCTGAAAATTAGTCAGTTTTTATTCATGTATATTATAGATTGAGGAGTCTAGACTTTGCATTTCAGATTAGGAAATTTTATCAAGGTTGTATAAATAGCCTGGCTTGTAAGTACACAGCAACTTTTGGCATTAATAATAATAATCAGTGTTGAATAATGAAGAATAGACTATAGAAATTTAGTTTGAATATAAGATCGTTGTTTTACATTTGCAAGCGCTTAGCACAGTGAAGTACTGCTCCATTATAATGAACTTCTGTGCACTACAGTAATACAAAAAAATAATAATAATTAATATAGGTATATTTTCCTCTTTTGCAAGTTAAGATTCAAAGCATGCTGAACATTATTATCCCCATTATACAGAAAGTGTGATGAGATCTGAGGAACCTGTGAGAGAGAGAAGTGACTCTGCTTAGTGAAACTATTCCTCGCCTGTTGCTCATGTTACAGGAATTTACAATCTCAGCTGCTGAAGTAGGCAAGGAATGATAAGATTGAGCAGTTCAATAGCTTTTGGATCATAGAATGATTAAGCTTGTAATTGCAAGAAGCCACTTAGGTCCTGACCGAGGAATGCACAGCATCTTTATATAGTTCCTCAGCAAGGAATTTACAACTTCCATTCCTGCAGTCTGCTTATCCACAGTTTTGCTTCTAACTCAACAGAAGAGCAAATTATATAAAAGGAAAACTAGATGACAAGTGTAAGTACTAAAGCAAAGATAGATTCTCAACATGAAGGCTTAACATAAAGCTAATAATACTTTTGTAATATTAATTCAATTCATTGGACAGATAGATATTTTAATACCAAGTATGCAGAATGTGCAGTAAGATAACTCAGCTTTGTGGCAGAAAACCTATGACACCTATTACACTCATCACAGCTTTCTACTGGAGTTTGTAAGGTATATATTCAACCAGATACATTAGATTCTCCTAAAACTCTTATACCTTTAACAGTTTATATTTCAGAAAGGCAGAAATATAATTTAAAAACCTTATCTAACACTTCTTCTCCTTAAGTGCTTCTCTCCCTCTCCTCCGTGTACATATTACAAATAATGAATGATGAAGAACTGAAAGTCAGTGCCACCACTTTGAAGACCAGGATGAAATTTTAAAAAAATCATCCAAACAATCAAGCAAATGGTTCTCCTCTATCACACTAGTTAAAATCACTCCTGTGGAATGCACACTTCGTTTCCATACTTTCAAATTCAGATATTTTAGGGGAAGTTTTTCACCTAATGCTTGTGATTCTTAACAAGCCAGATTATTTAATCTTGCTAGGAATTGCAATTACTCCAGTTATTTAAACATTATTTTAATATACATCTCATCTCAATTTTTTCTGACAATAATACAATAGGAATGTTTCTTCTAGTTTCCAATACTTTTATTCTTATTAGGGATACAACAGTTCTTAGTAGCTACTTTCTAACCATTTGATGCTGCAGAAAAACAGTCTCAGCCTCATAACACTTACAAAATAAAAGCCCAGTAAGCAGATAGACAGTTCAACAAGAGAGCAAAAGAAACAATGGTAAGTACAATAGATAGCCACCTGGGTATTAGCTTAACCATTTTTTAGGTTTTTGCATAGGACAGTATGAAAACGTTCTGTAGCAGAATAGTAAACTAGGTTGATGGTGGGTGTTAGAAGGAGATTTCTTCAAAGCAGGTGAAAAAGTAAGGGAGAAAGTATAAAGGTCCTAGTTTGAAGATTTAATGAATGGCAGCAGTAGGAAGGCAGAATGCAAGGTTTTTAATAATTTTTTTTAGGTGAAAAGCAGAGGAAATTGGTTTGGGAACTTAGATTATTTAACTCTAGTTTCACTTGTCCAAAAGCATATATGCTTTGTATTTCTTCAGCCTCCTGATTGAAAGACATAATAAATTATTATTAAAATGCAATTTGATCATGAACCTCCAAATAGAGCTTTTTACTACAAAGTATTGAAGCTGTAACATGTAACATACATAAATATGGCTGATGTGCACATCTTCAGCTCTTACAAGACTTTTAAAGGATTGGTGCTGCATGCAAGTTCTGATAGCAGCAGCCACCAAAAAGTTTCTGCAAGACTATTGCAGACCACACACAGCCTGCTTCCTCTTCTGCCTGGGGTAGAAATTCACTGGTTTACACTACCCAGAAGCTATATGAAGTTCTTTGCTCAATGAGAGCTAGAAGTTATTAGGAAAGTCCGGGGTATGAGAAGTGAAGTGCTGAAAAATGAGTTAGTAGAAAGCAGCTCCAGACCCATTTTCTTTCATTCGCTCCATGTCTCTCTTCTCTCCATATGTTGACTCCCCCCAGCAATTCCAGTTCCATCCTCAAAAAGCATGTGAACAAACACACACGCGCGCACACACTCTCACACACACACACACGCGCACAGAGCACCTATCTCTCTCCTTCCCTTCAGTAAGTCCTGTCATTATCAGCACTGGTAACTCTTGTGCATCTCTGCCCTCTCCCCAGAACTGCTGTAGTATGTTAGTACTAATGTCGCTTTCCTCTCCCTTTGTGCAGGGTGGGTTAGAGTTGACTGGGAAGCAGAGAATTAACATAGTGGGCAGCAGAGGACATGGGCTACTGGGTCATTCGGTGCCCCAGCCCAAAGGCTCCTAAGTGCATGTTCGACTGGAGTCTGGATAAACATGTGACAGTGCCTGAGATCTGACAGCGCCTGCCAGGCACAAGAGCTGTAAGACATTCCACAACATCACATGAGAGGTGTCACAGCCATGAGGTTTTCCAGAGCCTGGTGGGGGTGGTCGCATCCAGCAGCATTTTGAGTATGGAATGAATACATGGAACTCAGAGGAGCGTGTCTAGGTAGAAGCCAAATGTTGAAGTGAGAGAGATTGCCAAATGGGGAAGGTGTTTCTGATAAAACCAGGCAAAAGTGAGGTTCTCAGGACAGACAAGATGTTTTGAATGGTGTTTTGAATTTCCTCATTTCCTAATGAGGAATTAGCTGGATTAGGCTGGTATAACTGCATGAGAAAAAAATTCTGCTGGTGAACTTGGGTTTATATGTTACTTATAGTAGCAGCCACAATGAAGGAGAATCGGAATAGCTGATCTCTCACTTCTCTTTCTTCTGTTAAGCAGCCCATTTTCTCCCTCTGAAGGAAATATTATGGCATTCTCTCCACATGCTTGGTCAGCAATCTCTGTTCTGCAACAAAGCAATTTCCTTTCCAGCTATACATCCCTACTTTTCCTTTGCAAATATGAACAGTGAAAGGTGAAAGGGAATACAGATGCATACAGAGAGACACTGCTTTGGACACTGTCACCCACTGTGACCCTTTACCTGTGAAAAAGTGGGTTCTCCACAACAGATCTTGCTTTATTTACATGGGAGATTTTGGGCTCTTCCAATTTTATGCTTTAATGGAAGTATTCACAGTCATTTTAAGTCACAACTGAAATGAGTCTTTCGGAAGGAAGAGAGAGGAAAGAAAAAGACAAGGAGACTTACTTGTGAACTTCTGCATATATATTTAGATTTACCAGAAGTCAGAAATATTATGTGATGGTGGATATTTCTCACTGTGCATGTAGTTCAGGCCAACACTCATTTTTTGTTGAGCCATCTAAAGTAAATGTAAGAAACCTAATCATTTTGCAGGGTGAGCAGCAGATCAGAGAGTTACTTCCAAGTATGCATGTCTTGAAACCCTGCCATTTGTAGGCTGGAACATTTACAGGGCATATTGCTGTTAAGTAATTAGTATATTTATAGATTCTTTTGTGCTTAAATAGAAGAGCGATGATGATAGCACTCAGAGACAAAAAACATGCCTCTTAGCTGCTTTACCTCTAGCATCATAGGGAGAAGTGCCAGACAGTAGGTATTTCAGGAGTGGGTTGCAGAACTGACCTGGCTCCCCTCTGTGTGGTAGCGTGGCCACCTTCACATGTCTTTTGAATTGTGTACATCAAACCTGCTGTCGACAATAGCTCTTCTTCAATTATTCATGTTGCACTGCATCAAAGTATACCCTGCTGTGTTATTTAGTGAAGTGCAATACTGTATCAAAAGATGTGCAACTGCTAGCAAGCATTTGAGTATTACACTATAGTACAAAGCTCTATATTCTACACAGTACTATATTCTATTTAAGAACAATTGCACCACTTACAGGCCTGAGGTTAGAAAAAAACTCATATGAAAGCATGCAGGGACATCCCACAGCCAGTAAAAATTTCATATATTTATATCTTAACATGGAAGAAAAGCATGGAGGTTAATACAGCAGGAGCTCAGTCAAGGCTACTATAGGCTCAGTGCAAACCGAAATTGTTTTTTCATCGAATATATGAAATGTCTGGAAAAAAAGAAAAAGAGGGAGAAAAATATAATTTAAGCTTTTTTATGTAATAAAAAAGAAAAAATACAATACATACTAAATTTGAAAAGTATTGGTAATTGATACTTTAATTGATGTTTAAGGCTTTGAATCCTTTGCAAAACAGTGCAAGAAACATGAACTGTACTCTCACTAAAGTCCAAAGGCCATCAGATGAAATCTTTGCAGATGTAACCCCACTGTGGTCAATTAATTTATGCAGTCTAAGGACATGCTACGGGAATAGAGATTTTGTGCGATGAACAGATGGTATTATTAGTAATAAACCATTTATATTAACTAAAACACCTGTTTGCACATTAATATAAACCATTTCTTTAAAAATATTTCCATGCCATATTCCCATCATAGTTATAAAGCAGAATCAAAAGATTAAAGCTAATTATAACCGTTGTTGTGGTGTTTGCAAGAGTTCTTGTTGCTGCTGTAGAGGAGCCATAGACAATTTGCCACAGAGATGACAGATATAATTAAATGTGATGGAATTACTAATATTTCATAAAAATGTGGTTACGCAGGGGTAAGTCAAGGATGACATAATGATGCACCAAAAACATTCAATGTATGAATCAGAATGTTAATTACTGGTATTTTTATACATGAGCATGGCTCATGGCAGTTAAGAAGACAAGAGATTTAATTTAGACAAAAACATGAGAATAAAATTAAAAACTTGTTTCAAAATAAAGTTGAAGAAATCTAAATAAATAATCAGGGTAAAAAAAAAAGTAAAGTAAGTTACCTTATTACAATCTAATCTTGAGAAAGATTAGGGTACTCATGGACCAAAATCACAATGCATTCGCTTTCCAAATTTCTATCTATTGTGCTACTTTGATTACATAGGGAACAAAACAAAACAGGTCATTTGGTTTATGCTTGTTCACTCCATGTATTAATAATTTAATTAATTCTCATTATAAGCACCATAAGTGCTTCTTAACACTGAGGAGATATTTTGATCCACCTTGTAGTCTATTAAAAATCTAGTTGTTGTAGAGTGCTATATTGGCAAGTACTTTAACTTTCAATGCTGAACTAAACATTTGAATGTAAACAATAATTTCTATTATTTTAGCTTGGATAAAATTGCAAGGGCCATCATAGGAACGTGCATCCCTTTCCACTAAACCCTTGATCAGTCAAAACAGGACTAAAGATTAACTGTTAATTCGTTGTTGTATATTACAGTTTACTGCAAAAACTGCAATTGCTTTGGAGGAAGAGATCCTGATCCTGTTCAATAACTGTATTAAGCAACAGCTAGGAGAGAACTGATATTTCTAAATAAAACTTCATGGCAAATTAATGTAGAGAGACTGATATGTAAGATTACATATCATACCATCTTGTCATAGATCAAAACATTAACTTAAGAAAAATCAGAGTTCATTATGGGGAAAAGACAGAGGAAAATGAGTGTGCTATCCATTCCAGTTCATTTCGTGACAACAAACACAAAGACAATTCCACAACTTCTCTGTAGAAGGTGGTGTAATTTATATCTTGCATGGGCAGATGGGAGAAAAAGGAGACAGCTGTTGCAACCACAACAGCTGACTACACCAGATACGCCACAATTGCAAAACATATTTGAGTATGCCCTCTCTCTCTTTTTTTAGTGTCTGCATTTACCAAGAAGCCCAAGACAACAGAGGTGACAGCTGGAAGCACAGCTGTGTTTGAAGCAGAGACAGAAAAAGTTGGCATCAAGGTGAAGTGGCAGCGAGCTGGCACAGAAATTACTGAAAGTCAGAAATATGTCATCAAGGTGGAAGGAAACAAGCATTCACTGACAATCAATAATGTAGGAAAAGAAGATGATGTGACATATGCTGTAATAGCTGGAAGTTCCAAGGTCAAATTTGAACTCAAGGTCAAGGAACCAGGTACAGTGTTTCCTAAGCAATTCTAATTTCATCAGTATTGCCAGTCCTACATGCAACTTCATGAATGAGGTCCATAGAAATTAGTCTAACTTAACACTGCTAATTTCTCTACCAGGAACACATCTGTTTGGTCCAGTTATTTGAAGCTACTCATTAATATTAAGCTGAAGAATACATTTCCTGTGTCCCATTTCCAGTTGTCAGAAGTCCACACAGAAGGGATCACAGATGAAATCTCCATGTACATCTTTAAAGTTCTCTATCAAGCTTTTCAGCTTAATTATTGAAAAGCAAAGTGAAACTACTTGAACTCAACCTGACCTAAATTAAGATGCCTGCATCTTAGGCCTGGCTTTTTAAAAATATTATTTTATTTAAATACAAAATTGTAACAATCAACAAAAAATTTACAAGTTATTCTGTAATGTTTTTAGGAGCTTGTACGTTCCCCAAAACTATCTCAAAAATCACCTGCTAATAAAAATATGTATTTCAAGAGGGACTTAAATACAATGAGTAACCTTTATATTATTTGTACATCACCTATCATTACCACCTCTGTATGCATTAAAGGATCAGATAGATGGGAAATTGTAAAACTTCCCCAGGCTTTTCCCAGTAAAAACTATAAAAATCCAAATTATCTGGCATTTTCTCATGCGAAATTTTGAATATGCTGAGGATAGAGGAAATCACTCAGTTCTTGAAACATTATGACCTTCCTAATCTCTTATTTCCTCTCCAAAATGCTCCCCATTTACCACTTCTGGTATTTTAATTTTCCTCTTTTATTTTGGTGAAAAGCTTTAAACTCGGGTTGTTTCTATCACCTCCTCTCCTTTGCTATCAGTCTTTATTCTGGCAACATGATGATAGTGAGATCTTCTGGTCAGCTGAAAAGATACCGGTGAATATTTAACAGGAGACAAGACAACCTGTTCCAGATGAAAAGACAGTGCATGACAGGTTATGAGGAAGGGGAAATCCTTCTATGGACTAGGACAATTTAACAGCTGTCAGAGCATATAAAAGTTTGATCCTGCTGACTGTCTCATCCTGAAAGTAAACAGACACATATTATACCCATTATAACTTCCTCATTGCCTTTCAGGTTAGTTGCAGGTAGAGCCTGCTACAGGCAGCCTACAAATAACTGAGTTACTGAATTTGGAATTTCCATCATCACCTAAAAGCAGTACACCTCTGACAAGCACACACTGGTGATGGAGATATCAGGATGCCAAATGGGAGATAATTTTCCTGTATAAGTTATATACTGATGCCTCAAAATAAGCCTTTTCTAAACAGCCACACATCCAAATTATAGAAGCATCAATGCTACATTAGTTAGAATGAGGCTTAGTTACTTTCAGTAAGAATTGAGTTAAAATTTATTTGGACAAGATCCAATGGTATATCTTCTAACAATAAAAGTGGTAGAATTTGATACTTAAGCATTGAAATAATACCAATTTAAAATCACACTGTTTTCTTTCAAAACACAAATACAGTTTAAGGTAAAAGGCATAAATTTTCTGAGAGCAGGGTTGACTCACATTCATATGTTCACAGATACTCTCTTGTTTTTTAGACCTTACTAAGATTATATTATATTACTCTTCTCAGTGATCTCCAATGATTGGACAAAGGGCAATGGGTGCAAACTGGAGCATAGGAAGTTTCATGTGAACATAAGGAAAAACTTGTTCATTATGGAGGTGACAGAGCACTGGACCAGGCTGCCCAGAGAGGTTGTGGAGTCTCCTTCTCTGGAGACTTTCAAAACCCACCTGGATGCTTTCCTGTGTGGTCTACTCCAGGTGATCCTGCTCTGGCAGGGATGTGGACTAGATGATCTTCAGAGGTCCCTTCCAACTCCTAATATTCTGTGATTCTGTGATATTGTTGAAGAGTAACTGTCTTACCCATTATTATTTTACAAACAATAGTAATGTCAGCTCTTCATTATCAAAAAAATTGAACCCTAGCCTGCCCAGATACAGCCACCTCCCCTTTGTGACAGAGGAGTCACTCAAATCAGTCATCACATGGCACAACTGGGCCAGACACCTCTGGTGGAAAAGACATTGCAAATAGCTGGGAAACTGCATATGGGACTTGTGTGAGAGGTAGGCAAGGCCCTTTGGAAGTGGCTAGTTATGGAAAAAAACCTAAAATCCTCCTGCAGCTGATCTGTTTCAAGAAACTCTACCTCCCTCCATCTGCCCCAGTTGCTCACTCCTACTCTCTTTTCATACATTTCTGTATTTTCCATTGTGCCAAATGTGTGTGCCTGAATTTGTCTGTGAGGTCATGGTTTAATTGAGAGGCCATAACATCCATGAGCCAGGGGAAGAAACAATAGATGGATTTTTAAAATACTTTCTCCATATTGATTACTAGCAGTGTCTAGAGCTTTTCCCAAGCTGCACACAGCAATAACATTTGGAATCTTACATTCCAACAGCAGAGTTTAAGAAAATCACATGAATAACAACATGTTTACAAAAATAATTGCAACATTTTTATTATCTTTTCTATTTAGGCCACTGAAGTTAACATCAAATAATAGTGTTATTCATCAGCTGACAAGTTTCTATGCATCGAGACTATAAAATTTTAAAACCCAGGCATCAGTTCTTTCCAAGCTCAGCAAAAGAAAGAGCCTCATCATCCAGCTTCAGTAGGCCCCTTCTCCTTCCAGCACATCCTCCAATTTCTAGAAAAGCACAGTAATTTCTCTGCATTTCCAAAATTAAAAGCTGTTCTTTTGCACATTTTCTTCAGAAAGTAAGTAGGAACATGACTTTCTCTAATCTTGGCTTGCATTCGTTTCCAGAAAAGAGTGAGACT